TGCGTCGCATGCGTACGCACCGTGAATGGCGCGCTGCGCAGGCGGGCGGGGCAGGGCCACGGGCGCACTCGTAGAAAACGTTTGCGAGGACGCGGCCGCGCAGAACGTCAGAGCCGCCCTTGGCTGCCACCATGCGCTTCATCGCGGCCGCAGTCTCGAAGACCTCCCGCACCATCGACTCGTCGAAGTCGTCCACCGCGAGCACGTCCGCGCCGCGCCAGGAGCTGGCCGTCGCCATAACTGGGCTGATAACTCGCGGGAAAATAAAAAAGAGAAAAAGGAAAAACTGGCCCATCGTCCGGCCTCTGGGTGCGCATTTTCTAGGTCCCCGGCGCCCTGGGCTGATAAGTGCACTCCAAGTGCGGCTATGGGCTGATAACTGCACTCCACAACAAGTGCTCCCCCAGCCCCTGCGCCCCAAGAATGAAGAAAGTGCTTCTTTTCCCCCCTTCCTTGTCCAGCGACCAGCCCGAACATCTTCAACATGATCAAAGGGAACTGGATGGATTTGGGCTATCGAGCGCATTTGGAAACTCGGGGAAACTCTAGGCACCACGGGGAGAAGCTAGGAGAGCGACGGCCGGAGTCGCGAGGCTGGTGCGTGGTGGCATCAGATGAGATCATTTGCCGGATTTTACTTCTCTCTTGCTGTTGGTCGCCGCAGTGGCATCTCCATGATCACGTAACGCTGCCCGTCCTTCTCAAAAGCACGACCGGGCACATCGGACAGCCCTAGTTTGCGGTAGTACCCGGCCTGCTCGACGCGCGCGTTGCACCACAGAGATTTCGCCCCGCCGGCACGCGCGTCTGCGACGAGCCGCTCAAGCAGCAGCGTCCCGTACCCCTTCCGTTGGTGCGACACGCGCGTGCAGAACTTGCGGAACTGCGCGACGCTCTCATCAACGCCCTGGCCCTCTCTCCTCTCCCAAAAGAGCGAGACGACCGAGACGGGCTCGTCTTTGTCGAGGAGGAAGAGACCAAAGTGTCGGCTAGTGGCGGCGTCCTCGTCGCCCGGGATTACGACGTACTCCAGTGGTTTGGAAGGCCACATGACCTCGTGCCGCAGAGGCCAGACCATTTGCGGCGGGATGACACGCACGCTAATCGCTGTCACCGAGTCCGCTGTCGCTGTCGTATCTGCTGCTGCGCTCATCCGCGCAACGTGTGTCTGGCACACAGCGCGCCAATGCACCGCACTGTCTATGGTTGATCGTCGTCTGCCGTATTCGTGCGGATCGGTGTGGATGTGTACAGCCCCTCGGCGGAGTCACAAGAGGTGGAAGAAGAGAAGCGGCGGCTAGACACGGGACTGGCGGATAGAAAACAAGAACACAACGCACTCTCTCACATGACAAGAAATCACGACTCTCACAGTGATTTGGGCTCGGCAGCTTGTCAGCCCTCAGCCGAAGCTGGGGCCGGTAAAATCTCTCTCACATGACAAGCGATCCCACGATTGCGAATGTGGGGACTACATGATTACATGAAGGGTGGAGGGGCCCGCCTGCAGAGCTAGGCGGCGCGGGCACCCCCCACTGGGGCCGAGGACAAGAAGCCGTTTGTCGCTTGCTTGTTCTTTTGCTTGAGCTTGTTGATCCAGTCGGTACGCTCCTTGCGCGCCTGCTTGTTGATGTTTTCGGCGTCGCCCACCACCGCCGCCTTGGAGATCTGCTGCGTGTGGTGGACGACGAAGGAGGAGGCGCTCGCCGACGCCGCCCCGTACAACGTCCGGTCCGTGTTGGTGCCCGCCGCCTCCTTGGCGAACACGTGGAGGAACTGCTTGGTGGGCGGCGCAATGCCTCCCAAATTTCCACGAGCACCAGCGACCAGCCGCGTTATGGCTTTCTTGACCCACTTCGCGTCGTAGTACTGCGCCCCCAGCCACTTCCAGCCCGTATCCGTCTTGACCCACCCCTTTCCATGTACGGCTCTTACGCGTGGTCTCTTTGACCCATCCCTTTCGTCCAGTCGAGTGGTCGAGCGGTCCGTCCACCTGACGGCCACGCTCCTTGCACCCCACGACTCCCGTACAGCGTGTTTCGGTACTCCTGTTAATGTTGTGGCCAATAAACGGATAGACACGCACGGCAAACGAACTATGTGAGCCGAGGGTGACAGTATACAGTACCACGTATGTAGGACCATGCGATGTCCTCCTAACGTGCCACGGACATGGGGCAGTACACAAATTGCGCGAGGACGAACTAGCAGGCCGCCTCTAATACCGTACCCACTAGCGTGTCAAAACTAATGGTCACTGGACTCCGTCAGATCCTCGGACACCTCCGCAGCGTCCGAGCGCGGGCTCTCGAGAGCACGGAGGTCAGCAAGGTAGTCGGGGTGCACGCCGTCGAGGCACGAGAGTGAGAGGGCGAGCGCGTCGAGGTCCTGCGCCGGGCGGGAACCATGCGTGTGGAGAGGGTGCAAGCGCCGGCGATGCGAGTGGCAGGCGAAAGGCAAGGGAGCCGATCTCACCCATGCGATTGTCCCCCAGTCAGCCTCGGGGATGGGGTCGAGACTGCTGTCGATACGCACAGAGCAAGAGCTCGAGGCACCGCGTGCTCGCTTTGATCGAGATGGCATGCCGCGAACCCGCGAGGCGCCCGACCCTGTGGCGTCCCTGTGGCGTCCCTGTGCTCTGGTTTGACCTTCTCCGTCCTACGAAAGTAGGTGCCTCTTCTCAAAAAGTCTCGCTTTTCTTTCTGAGTTGTTTAAATTCTTTCTCAGTGTATGCCCGAGGGTGAACTGCTGACAGGGTTTGCGATGAGAAGCGATCCGAACGTGGCATTCGGGTGATTAGATCACTAACTACCGCCGTAACGTGTGTGTTCTTCTTGTGTGTGTGTGTGTGCCGCCGTAACGCAAGAAAGAGCACTGCGACGGATCGGTCGGGCTCATGCTAGCATGCTAGCAAACAAAACAAAGTGTTAGAGTTGTTTGGTATTGCTAAAAATCTCTCTGCTAGCATGGAGGACGGAGTTGCGCCGAAAGGCAAAAGAAGCCGCGAGAACAAGGGACCGGCAGGCGGCGGCGTCACAGGACGAGGCAGAAGGGAACGACGCGACAGAGGAGGAAATGACAAGGGAGAGAATGTTATGACCCCCCCCCAATGAACACACCAGTGAGGGAGGGCGTCCGAGACGATCGAGGGGTCCCGTACCATGCGGAATCGACCCTATCCAGTGCTCAAGTGCTCAAGGGAGAGAACGACGAGAGTGGGACGACCGCGAGGTGGCATGAAGGTGGCAGCGAGAAGCGGCGAGAGACTGCGAAGAGAGATAGGAAGAGGCAGACTCCCTAGGGTGGGCGACGGCTAGCGCACCACACACCTCTCCTTAAAATCCCTGTGTGGTGGCGGCGTGCCGTCCTCCCATCCCTCCCTTGGTTTGTCTGTTTTCTTTCTTTCTTTCTTTCATGCTAGCATGCACCTCGCGAGCCGACGTTCTGGCTCAGCGAGGTTGCTGCGGAGCACTCGCGGACCGGTTCTTCTGGCCCAGCGAGGCCGCTGCGGGACACACCGGCGGCTCGGTTCGCTCCTCAACGCAAACTCGGTCGAGCAAGAAGTCAGATGTGTGTGTAAAGGCGGCGCGGCACGGTAAGGGTCGGCGGTAAGGCGGTAAGGCGCGGCAACAGACGCAGGCAGGGCTTTCTTAGGTATCTACTTTAGTTTTGGCAGTTTTTAGTCTGTCTTTCGTTTTTGGTTTGCTTCGCGCTAGCCGCACTCTCGCGCTTGTG